CTCCTTGTCCAGCCATATTCTAAAAGAAGAAAAATAAGGCAGCCCTTGTGCCCACATGGACAGCTTAGACACCTAAATACAGGAAGCAGTTTCAGTATCAATCCCTATCTCATACAGGCATATGTCAGAGCTGTAGGCAGGTACCTAAATCTAACAGAAAGGCAGAATTTAAGATGTTTTTAAGAATTTAAGACACCCTCTCTTCAACGTTTTCTATGGCTGGGCTAGGTTTCCCCTTCTATAAATCAAATTCCTAGGTGCCTAACTCTCCCCATTGCTTGTGTATGGAATATTATTGCCCAATTCAGGTTTGTAAATTCTCTTCCTGGAGGCATTGCCACATATAAGCCCTTTTGTGGATCTGCCCTTGGATTGTTTTTGCTTTAAAAAACATAAAAATAGCCACAAACCCATAACTGAAGCCCAGAGCTTTGCACTTAGGTAGGAACAAAAAGGTTAAATGAAATCTTACACTGCCTAGGAACTGGAGATGAAGTAAGGTGGGATAAAGCATGGTTGAGCTCTAGGGTGGGGAGGAAAGAATTGCTGGGAAGGAAGTGCAGGGCAAGCAACAAAGAGGTCAGAGAAGTTGGAAGAACATCTGGAAAGTAAAGCCTTGAAGCAAACAGAGTCACAGGAAAGGAAATTTTGAATGTAGCTGCAAGTTGTAAAAAAACAATGCAACACAACCAAAGAAAATTAAATAGATGTTTTACAACCAGCTTTTCTATCTGTTGAAGTCTTTAGAGCTAATGTAATACCGAGAATCTATTTATTTCACAGATCACTGGATTAAATACTCAGGGCCAGATTTCAAAGGTATTTAGGAACTTAAAAGATATGGGCAGACAGATCCTATTCCACTGATTAGTACCTAAGGCCCCTGGGCAGACATTGCATTTATGGCAGATGGCCCCCCAACTTCAAATGACCTCTCTTTAGCAATGCTGACTCCCATCCTCACCAAGGCACCAGGCCTACCTTGCCTGCTGTGCCCTCAGATCAATTCAGACCATCAACAATGAACTGAATAACAAGGAGTACAACATCCAAGGTTCATTTCCGTGCAACTCTGTTAAGGTCATATATGCCATCGCCTGCTTACAGTGTCCGTCTACCACCTATGTCAGACAGATAGGGCAAGCTCTACATGCAAGAATGAATGAACACCAATCTGACATCAGCTGCAGAAAGACACAAAGGCCTGTACCAGGACATTTTAACCTCCATGGACCCCCCATTGCTTACCTCAGAACTGCTCTTCTCAGGCAACAAAACTTTAAAAATGAGTTTGAACAGGAAATTTCAGAACAAGAAATTATTCGCCAAGTGGATTATATTTAAGCATGGTTTAAACAGGAACTATAGAGTCTTGTCCCTTTACCTGAATTAACTTCTGTGACCCCTTTTTCCTTTGGGTTTTTACTTGTATGCAGCTCCCAGCACTGTCCCCCTCTCTTCCCCCTCCCTCCTCTTTTCTCACCTTTTGCATTCAAATCACTCACTCCTCTTCATACACCACTCTATGCTGTCCTCTCACAGCATCTGGCCCCCTAACTTCAAATGACCTTGAACTTGAGTTCATGAAAGCTTGTGTTTTCTATATATGTATATTATTGAGTTAGTCTATAAGGTATGTATCTACCCTGCCTCTTGCATGAATGCAGTATGCCACATGTTCAGACAAGTTATGGTACCATAAAATGGCAAACCAGTCAGAAAGATGTTCCACATAATATGAATGTGTGGCATGCCCCAACCCCAGGCCAACAATCTACTGACTGTTGGAGACTGGGGACACCCACTTTCTTGAACCAGACTGGGGGGTCTGCAAGTACAGGATGTGGGGAGCCAGTCAGGTCTTCCCACTGAACAAATTTAAAGCTGCATGACCACATGCATCCTACTTCCCACTCAGCAAGTTCAAACCTTCATGCCTCGCATCCCCACATGCTGGTGTGCAAGTATCAGGCAAGAGGGAGCCACTCAGAAAGTTCAAAGGCACATGCCTGACTCCCCCAGCCTGGCTCTTGCACAGATTTCAGTTTGCCACTGTAGGTGGAGCCTGGGATCAGTACGCTAGGCTCCACTTGAACTGGCAAACTGAAAGGACATGATTGGGATCTAATCTCTGATTTTCAAGGTCATGCGTCCTGACACAATTGTTTGGATCAGATCCCATTGCCCCTTTGAATTAAAATCTGCCAGGGATCTAAGTGTGATCTCACTCCAACCTGCACAAGTCCCTGAAGAATAGTTAATGCAAGAAGTAGAAAGAACTTCATCTTCCTGCATGCAATTTTGCAACAGCCTTAAGGTTCCAGAAGTAAGTGTGTTAACATTTTTTCAAGGATTTGAGAAGGGTGGGAATAAGATCACATTTAGGCATTTAAATCCACTTTGACACCTAATAAGAAAAAAATATCTGGTCCTTAGACAGATATAGGAAAGTGTCTTTGTCTTTTGAAAGGTGCAGACAGAAGTTGTGTTTGTTGCACAATAAGCGCCACAGCTGCAGAGTGCTTTTCAAGTGGCAAATGAACCCCCATCAACGAGGTATCAGAAAAAGGTGCCATACTTTGGAATGCCTCAGGGAACTTGTGTTCCCTAGGGTTAATTTGTTGTGCAATCAGGGCTGGTCTGATGCAGCCCAGGCCTGTCCCTGGGGCTGTCAGCAGGAAGGAAGGGGAAGTGAGCTGCTGCTTGGGGTTTGCCCAGCCTCAGCTAGAAGGGGGGACAGGGTAGGTAGATCAGAGGCCCTCACCTCACAGCCCTGCCAGCGCCCCACACTCCAGCTCAGGTCAGCTTGCTCCCTCTCCCCACTGCCCCCTCTCTGTCAGCAGGAATGGGGGCAGGGCTGGGGGAACAGGCGGTTCCTCAGCTGCAGGCAGGTTCCTTGGGCTCCTGCAGGCAGGCTTGACCCCCCACCCTCTAACCTTCCCTCAACCCATCTGATGCCTGTCAAGTCAGCTTGGCACTGCTTGTCCTTGACAGCAGAGACACTGTACATGACTCCCACCCCCATACGCCTCTGTAAGGGACAGATCTCCCACCCTGGCATTTACACTGGGGTGCCCCCATCTCATTCCAGCTGTTCTCAGAGCAGCAGGCAGAACAGTGGGCAGGGCACCATCTGTTGGGTCTTGAGGGCACTCTAACTCATAGCACTAACTCAAGTGCCATGAGTTAGAGCAGGGGCCTGCATGTCTGTCAGCACTCTAAATGCCCATGTGCATCTTTATACACCTAAATACTTTTGAAAATCTAGTCCTTAGGCCTCAAAATATGTTTTGTTTTCTTTTGAAACTTCCCCTTAGCTACTGAAACTTCATCAGATTGCTGTCAAATCATTTTGGCTGCTTGCAGATGTTAAAAAAACCCCAAAAAACATGTTTTACCAGAAGAGGCAGCGCCTTAGTTGGACGTGGCATACCCAATGTCTATATAGATTGGGCACTTCAGCAGGATGTTTTGGCACTTTTAGCTAAAACTGATTCAATCACCTATTAGATAAAAGTGCTAAAAAAGGCCCGCTAAAGCACTCACTCTATATAGACATTGGGTGAGCCAGGGCCCACTAAGGCACTGCTTCTTCTGGGCGTGCGTGGGGCTCAGCACCAGAATGTACTGAATTTAACGTAAATTGCTATTTGGGGGAGAGTGGGGATTAACATCTGTAAGCAGCCCTTGAGGGGTACATATAGAGCGTTGAAGTTCACAATGTTTTATTATTCATTACATACCTAAAGATAATGGTTATGACATCCCAAGATATGGGGAAAAGTTATATTTCCAGTCATGGGAATTAACTAGTTAAAAAGTTAAAGAAATGGCTAACTTTTAACTTTAACTAGTTAAAAAAGGTTCATTTTAACTTTTTTTTAAAGTATAAGTTAAAAGTTAAAAATAATTGGAAGCCGGCTTTCCCAGAGTTTTTCCTGACACAGCCACTCTCTAGGACTTATATGGAATGATATTTCTTTACTGAAACTCTAGGACTTCTTGTTTGAGAGAGAGAGAGTAGTGTGCCTTCCTATGAAATATGGTCTCTTAAGAACTCAGAGTTCTCAGAGTTCCTTAGTTCGTGATGGCATTTTCTGTGCATTTGCAGAAGTCAACAGGGCAGCCAGTTGGCTGCAGGAGAAGGAACAAGTACAAGCAAGCAGAGACATTGATCCCAGTAAGAGTGAGGGTGAAACAGATGATGACTTTTTAAATTTTAATGAAGATCAGAACCAGCAGCCCATGGCCCAAGAAACTGAGCATTACTTCTCATCTGTGAGAAACTTATCTGAGATGTCACCTACTATGAAAAAATATTCATCTGTTATAACATAAGCATTCCCTCATCTGCCCATGTACAGCAATTGTTCAGTAGTGGGGGCTTAGTTTTGCAAGACAGAAAAGGGAGATTGTCAGATGTAAATTTTGAAATGCAGCTTTTGCTGAAGTTCAATAAGTATGTTTAAACCGTTTCTGCTAGGCAACGGAACATTCTTTTTGTCATTTAAACTGATTTTCTCGTTTCAGTCTAATTTTGATTTTCAGACACTTTCATTATTTCTAATTCAGATGTATTTCATACCCTTTTGTTACCTTTTGAGCAATAAAAATTGTAACAACAGAGGTTTTCTGTGGAAACAGCTTTCATTTGTCACCTGGCTATGAATATCTCTTTTCTGTTATTCTGGTATACCTATATGACACATTGACTTTCACAAAGTACTTCTCATTGAGAGTATGAGAAGGATCTAACATTACATAGGTATTGGTAAATTGTTATTCTGAAAATTGTATGACAAGTATAACATTGTTTTCAGGTAAAGCAGGGTGAGTTCCAAGTAAATAAGTCTGCTTCTGTGGGCTTATGGAAAAGAAACCCACTCATTACATTTGAAAATAAAAAATGATGCTAAGAGACAATTCACCATGTTTCACACATTTCTCATGAATCAACTTAACTTTTAACTAGTTGAAAGTAGAAATATTTAACTTTTAACTTAAGTTAATTTTAAAGGCTGTTAACTTTTAACTTTAACTAGTTACGTTTTTCATAAACTTTTCCCATTACTATATTTTTCTCCCATGTTGTGTTCCACATACAATTTTTATGAACCACTATTGAACAAGAACAGCTGGCTCCAAAAGAGAGGAGCTCTATGTTATCTACAGACCAAATAAACTCAGAATAGTCATGCCCCAACCAGGATGATGATGTTAGCTCATAGCGATGGTCATTTAAATACTGAGTGAAACAGATTATTGACATTAAGGTAAGAGGTGGGCTGGAATTTTTTCTTCTGTATATGCTTAAATACTGTACAGTTACCTGAGATAGCCAAATTTAAGGACAGATGAATGGAGAAATATGTAGACAGAATTCTAAGTTATTTATGTCCTAAGATATATCATATCATTTGGAAAATTGTTAAAAATAGCTACTAGGGTCAAAACAATAAACTGAAATTCTATAAAATAAATTACTTTAATAAGAGATAAGGAATTCTCAGAAAAACTTTTCCACCTAGTTAATAAAATTAGAATATATGAATAAATTACAGCCTACTGCATGATAAAACCATGACCTCTCCCATAAGTTTTTTTAATATCAAACAGTATATTATAAAAACCTTTATAAATCTTTTCATCATTAAACAGCTAAAATATTTTCCTGTCATTTCTTAAATTTGCATTTACACATAATGCAAAAACAAATAATTGGGTAAGAATGTACCCCCCCCACACACACACACCTCACAATTCTTTCAGTATCACAGACTGATGAGCTTTACTCTCATGCATCCTATGTCTTC